TCCATCGTGCCTACTGCCTTCAAGTGACAGAAGTACAACACAGACGTGCAAAGAATACCGATGGAGAACAACTGTTTCAGGTGACCTCACCTGTCAACTGGTACATGACAAGCTCACTCAATATCAATTTTATTAACAGCATTCTCACACGAGCAAGCGTAAGTGCAACTTGAGGAGAATATGGTGTGACTCAGGGAAAATAACAAGATTTGCTTTTAGTCATATGGTCTGACAATTGGTATTTACACAAACTACAACGAATGGAATCAGATTACCGGAGCAGCTTCCATTAGCAACGCCATGCTTTGGTGGGTACCTTCAACTTACACGTCTTACAACACCTTACTGCATAAGATCTTGGATTCCCACCCATTGGGGTGGCATTCGCAGGAATGCATTCCCGAGCACCATCGGGCTAGTCTCGGCTAGACTCACGAATCAGCCAATTGAGGCAGCGTTTATGCTTCGCGTCGGCGCGCTGTAACGCGCTACAATCCCGAACAGTAACAGCCCTCCACGATTATAGACGCGAACGGAGTTGTAGATGGAAATCGGTCGGTGCCGCCCGGCCATGTCTTGAGACAGTGTAGGGAAGCGTTGTTCAGACAAGCAATCTGGTATCGATTGGCTCTGGCCACCAAGGCGGCGCTGATTGATTCCCGACTGTGGCTTCGCGTCTATGAGATTGGAGCGCTCTTGCGATTGTAGCAATATACAATTTTCATATGATTTTTTTATTTAGTATCTTAACAGCTACAATTCTTTATACATTCATCTTCAAGTCGACGCGCTTTACAGCGCGTCGGCGCGAAGCCTGAACGCTGGCGCAACGCTGCAGGCGTACAATGACCGCCGCCAGCTTTTCTGAATAGCTGGCTCATACTTTTAGTTCCTAGCTGAAGAAGCAGTGACTTACAACTATTCCCCAAAAATTTCTAGGTACTGGAGCACATATGGCAGCGGAGTGTCGAACGAGACTCCAGCCAACTACAATGACTTCGTCAGTTTCGGAGGATGGTCCTACCCATCTGCCAAGCAATTCGGTCAAGTTGAATCCGTCTGTGGATTAACTGTGAACAGGTGAGAGAGGAGTTACTATAATGTGAAGGACGGATGTTTTCTCGGTACCAACAGTCTACGAAGAGGCATTTAAAGGACTCCTTCGTACAACGCTGGGAGTACAAAAAAACACTGACTTAACGTCGGTCGGGCACCCCCCCGGGATTTGCGGGGGGGGGGAAGGGGGTGAGGGCGGTTACTAACCAAAGTGTATTGGTTGATATGCGATTGCGTTTTGGTCCCGCCCAGCTCATCCCCCGGGCACCACTAACAAGTTCTGCCACCAGTGGACGTTCGGCGATGATCGCCGCGCCCCAGCCACGCCGCCTACTGGCCTCCCGAGGGCCTTGCATCGCCTTCATTTATACACCTGGTTTGCGTGTCATTTGAGACCGTTTTTCTATGAATTTATTGGTTTATTGTATTTAAGTTCTGCAAACAGTCCTTTCGAAGGTGCATATCAGGGGGACATTGCGCACAGCCAGGTTGCTCTTCACCAATTCCTTGAAGCGGGACAAGGGACAACAATTGGTGGAAAACGGTCTGGCGCCCCATCCACAGACTGCGTGAGAGACTCAGCTTCTCTGCAGCGAAAACGGCTACAAGTCCAATCGAGGTTGGAAAGATCCGACATTTTGGGGATATACACAAAAGAATTTGCCCTCTGACGCAGCGGCCTTGATTCCCAGTGGAAAGTCAATGGTCCTCGAATATGCTTACCATTGAAGTAGTCCTACAGCTAGAGCTCCCGTTTGGGTGCGAAAGTTCATACTCTTCTGCGGCTTGCTTCACGTTACCATTTCAGAGACGTCTTCACTTCATCATCAGTACCAGTTGCTGGTATGGCCAGGCGTGAGAAGTCTGATAGCATCATCGTTGGTGGCCTGGGTCTCGGAGGTGCTGCTTTCACCGGAAAAGCTGAAATTCAAACAGTAGTCGTGTATAGCAATAAATATTTATTGGTGGTTCGAAAATTATTGTCAGGAAAGGATATCAGGGGACTACAGTACTTAATAGTTTCACTACAAAAGCGAAAGATGTCTGTCGTGTCGAAAGATGTCGAAAACGTTCAAAACTTGCTCACAGCAAAAAAAACAATGGTAACGCAGGCTTGGCTATTTTGTTTTATGTGATAGCCGACATGGGGTAGAGCGAGAAATACCTTCGGAATACATTTAGAGCCAATATGATGCAAGTAGGGTTCAACAGGAGCTGGGTTTCGATTGCTAAAGAGAAAAACTGAATGGTTGCGGTGGTCGGACTTCTGCTAGACTGCCGTTAGGTTGTCCGGAAAGTTCTCAGCGTTTTGAGTGTTTCACTTTAAACGATCATAACTTTCTTAATACTCATCGGATTTAATCGAAATAAGCACCGTTCGAATCAGCACACTTTTGCCAATGTGACAAAGAAAAAAACTGGGTGGTCGAGAGTTCACGAAATCACGAAGGCTTTTTGCCTGGTCCTGATTGATGAAGTATTTTCCAGCAAGGAAGTTCTGAAAATGTTTGAAAAGGTGATAGTCGGTTGGTGAAAGGTCTGGAGAATATGGCGGGTGAGGTAGAACTTCAATTCGTTCAATTTATGGATAGTGATTTGTGAAACGTGTGGGCGGGCGTTGTCATGCAAAAGAATCGGACCCTTTCTGTTGACAAGTGCTGGCTGCAGCTGACGCAATTTTCGGTACATTTCGTCGATTTCTTCACAGTAGGACTCTGCTGTGATGGTTTGGCCTGGTGACAAAAAGTTATAGTGGATCACACCAGCCGATGACCACCACACTGTGACCATAATCTTTTTTCGTGAGGATTCGGCTTTGGAAATTGCCTCGGTGGTTCGGTCTCCTGTTATCATACATGACCCATTTTTCATCACAGGTGACAATTCGGTCCAAAAACGGGTCGTTTCTGTTGCGCAAAAGCAGTGAAGAGAAACCTCGAGACGTGCCAATTCTGCCGGTCACTCAAATTGTGGGGCACCCACTTGTCGAGTTTTTTCACCTTCCCAATGCGTTCCAGACCATCCGCAACAGTGGATTTGCCAACGCCTAGCTTTTCTGCAATCTCTCGAACTGTTTGGGATGGGTCAGCCTCCAAAAACGCCTTCAAATCCTCGTCAGATATTGCTTTAGGTCGACCGCTATGAGGTTCATCTTCAAAGCTGATATCTCCAAAACCAAATTTGTCGAAAAACCATTCGTCGAGTGGTTCTCCAACACTATTGCAGGGCCAACATCGATGGGGATTTTGGTCGAGCTTTTACGACCCCCCCCCTTTTTTTCAGGGGCTGGTACGACCCCCCCCCCTCCAAAACGTCCGCAAAGCGAGAAAAATCAACTATAAAAATAAATTTTTCCCAGCCCAAATACGACCCCCCCCTTTGGCGGCCTCATACGACCCCCCCATAGGGAATCCCATCACGCTGTGCCCTGACACTTTGGGCCCTCACACCTGGTTTAATTTGTCGAGCTGTCTCGACTGCGAACTGACCCAATTTGAAGAAAAATATCGTCCGATGTTGCTCTTTTGACATGCTTCAAAAACAGGCCACAGGATTCGATCTGGCGATTCTGGTGGAGCTTTTTACGGCATTGGCCGTACACCCCCCCCCCCCTTTTTTTTCAGGGGCTGGTACGACCCCCCCCATGCTCGTACGATGGCTGACATGGCTGACTGTGGTTGTGGTTTATACTCGGCGAAAAAGTTGTCGAGCGGGGGTATGTAGTAAGCAGTGCGACGTACATGGTACGGGCGTACATACTAGCTATAACACAGTAAATTCATAAAAATCCACCAAGTGAACCACATAATTCCTAGCCAGAAATACGACCCCCCCCCTCCCCCCCCACAACGACAAATACGACCCCCCCGCCTCCGATAACGTCCGCCAAAGCGGAGAAAATATGCAACTATTCAAATTAATTTTTTCCTCAGCGCAAATACGGACCCCCCGCCCCCATAGAAATTCCCCAACAATGCTGTGGCCCTGGTTCAAAAGTCTCGAAAAAAGGGGCTTTATTTAAGGAATGGTGAAACGGCAATTATACCATCAGATAGCGCAAAAAAAATTCTCTTTAGGATGTACTACTGGGACGCAAGAAGAATGAGTTTTTAATCAGCAATGAATGTACAAAAATAGTAAACAAAACGCTGAGAACTTTCCGGACAACCCTAATTAGAAGGGCATGCATAGGGTGAAGCAAACAAAAGTTACGTAACAACTATCCACACCATTTGGCTAAGGTGGCCCGTTCCAGAACTGACATCCTGGATAGAAGCATGTCAGTTCCACGTGGGATGTTGGTGTGCCCTGTGTTCCGAAGTTGTCAGCATGTGCTCAGCATGTCAGCAGTCAGCAGCCTTCCCGGAATCTATCGTTGTTGTCTCCTATTCATCCTGTGTTCTCTCAGTCTTTCTCCTGTCATGATGGCTTAGCAAAGGTCAGAGTTCATCGACAGCGGCCAAACCTGGAGCCACGTAGAAGGTGGGTATTGGATGAGCCCATCTCCTCCTAGGGGATGCTTCGTGCGTGGGGAGCACTCTACTGCAGGCAGATGGCTGCTTTCTGCGGGAAACGAGCCTAAACCTACGGCAACGTTGCCTCTACCATTGTTGTGCTACGAGGACAGTGACCAATAAAAAAGTACCTCATTATCGTGTGCTTATTTCTACAAAACGAACGAGGTTACCACTATTATGTGTCAACTGAACAGATGTTATATTACACGATAAAGGCAACTAAAAAACCTATGACAAAAAAGGTACATGACAAAAAACGAAAAGGCATGAATAGCAGTAAGTGTAGCCTCATCGTATGAAAGATGACATTCAATGACAGGGCAACTGCTGAACCAAGTGCTGAGCGTGCGCGCTTATGGTGAGACCAGAGGAGTAGGATCCCGCGCCTCTGGATTCTTTCAACGTACAAACAGACTAGTGCGGTAGCACGGATATTAGAGCACGGATTTTCAGCGGGGCTTCCAAGATCCTACGGAAGTCACAACTGTCTCTAATATTTCGCCGGCGCAATAGCGTCTCGCTCCTTCAGACAAAACTCCGATTCCGTAGCCCCGAGGATATTCCAGACGAGTGCTTCATCCTTCTTCTTTTGATATTGATTCATGATATGATAATTATATATTGATATGACAATTAATTTTATGATATTTTCGCCAGCTCCGATCCACATCTCCGTGAGTTACAAACTGTTGTTTGAAGCGTGTGAAAAATTGAAAATTGAAGGGTGGAGCGAGTATGTTCAGTGCAGGGCCAGTGGGCTTTCAATGCCAATATCAGTCTTTTTTTTAACGAAAAAACTTTAATACAAGCGATAAAACGTAACATTGAACACCAGGATTAGCTTACAACATGCTCTCTAATAAATAATTCAACTGGTATCAAACAATTAATTCGAACGGATATCACTGGTAATTTCACTGGGCTCTCATAATGATACTCTGCGTGAAGAAAAACGGTTAAAACAATGCAAACCGCTACTCAGTAAATCTGCGGTCATCAAGCGAAATAGTATATCAATGAATGAATGTAACTAAAACAAATCAAATCGTCGGCGATCATCTACCTCAGCATCCGAAACAATGCAGGTACACACACACACACACACACACACACACACACACACACACACACACACACACACACACACACACACACACACACACACACACACACACACACACACACACACACACACACACACACACACACACCACACAAACATAGGAAGAGACATACAACACAGGTAGGGCATTGGGGCCCTAGTTAGACTTGAAGACAATTGGGCGAGGCCTCGCAATCTACTGTACAAACCGCGGCGCGGAACACGAAGATGGTGCTAAAACAGTGACATGGCAAAAGCTAAGGATCATAGACGTACGACTGATTCCTCCATCGTCGAGTCTTCTTTTCATTCTCGAGGAAATTAACCGGTTTTCCTCGTATTATAACCGCGCCGAGAGGGATAATACCAGTGGCTCAAGTCGTTGCCTACCCCACAGGCTTGGGACTTCAAACCATCAATACGTCTGTTATCGCAGTGACTACAGTATAATATCCCAGTGGAAAGCGTTACGCTGTCACTAAACGTTCCCAGGCGCCGCCTGGCTGGGGTCATGAAAAGAAAAAGGAAAAGATTGTGGTACAGAACTTCCATCAGCAATGACTGTGAATAAAGAGAATATACGGACTACTGGTTCACGTTGATTTGCCCTCCGACTGGCATGTAACCCCTCAGACGACATCAACTTTCTTACAACAGCATCCTTCTGAGAGCAAATGTGAGTTCATCAGCCTGAGAATCTAGCCCGTCAGAATGGAATCGGTGGCAGAACCTTTTTTAGCAACGTCTCGTATCTGTTGGTATCTATACGAATTACAATGAGTGGAAGCAAATCGTCGGCTTGGTCGCCATCAACAACGCCAAGCTCTGGTAGCTGTCTAGAGTTGCCTTGACCTTTTATTTTTTGAGCTTGACGTATTTTTGGATGATCACCACAGTTCGATAAACAACTCCTTCATAGCTCCCCAATCCACCACAACAGATTGAGGCAGTTTCACAGCGCCCTTCCCATGAAACACATTCCTACGTAACGCTCAGCAAAAGAAGTTTACGTAAGATGTATGCACTTTCCATGACGGACTGAAGCTTAAAGGGAATTTAGTAGGCTGTGCAGCGCTCCATTCTCACAGTACGCGACGCAACCGCAGATATTGGGCAGATACGTCGACAGCCTGTAAGTGAGGAGGACGGTACGGACACTTCTTCCTGTAGGGGATTTTACCGACTTCTGGCGATTTGATGCGACCCTACTCTATACTCCAGCTTGCGCCGTCGCCGTAGCCAGCCACACGCCTAATCGTGGCCAATCGACTGCTTGTCTCACTTCTCGTTGTTCTCTATTGCTGGGATGTGACTCGTTGGAGGTCTCGGTCTGCGCACGTGCTGCACCTTAGGGATAGCAGAGGCGGAGTATGGGGTCGGGGCGGAGTATCACTGCTCCCAAGCTTCGTTCCTGTACATTTGTGAGCGGGGAAAATGGGGCGCTCTTGCAGCCGCGGGCCCGTTCATCTCGCATTAAGGAAACGACTTTAAGCGAATGTTGAATTTGGTGGGAAGG